GCCGGTCTATGGGAATCTTGATTTTCTGGTTCTTGTTTGACGAAGGAGATGCCGGTATTTTCATCTTCAAAGGTCACCAAGGTAGCTCACTCCGGCGTTGCTCGTGAACCAGTGGAAGCAAGGTTATCGTACTCAGAAATTGAATTTGGCACCGTAGAAGGAGGAAGAGAGAGAGACGAAACCAAGGCAGTAGTGATGCCTAAAGGAGGAGGGGCAGCAGCGATACCGTCGGGAAGCCAAACTCGCGCCCGCCTCTGTAAATAAGCTCTGAATTGCGCTTCGCCACATATGAATACAGTGGCAGAGGAATAGTCCCATGTTAGGGCCATCATCACCGACGATACAACCGACGGGTAGTTCCGAGGGCTGCCGTCGAGCTCCAGAAACTGTTTCACTATTGAATTCACCTTATAATCATACTGATAAGAATATTTTTGTAAGTTTTGATGAGCCAAATGTACTTTAGATCCCCTTGGTTTTTTTAGGTCTTTTAAGTACAAGCATCATAAATCAGAATATCGAGTCAAAAGGAATCTACCTAGGAAGAACAAAATTAATTTGGGAAATTAATTTTGGTCCTACGAGTATTCATCCGAGAAAGAAGCATAAAGGAATGGCGTTGCAAGGATTGACCGGATGAGCCTAACGGCGAAATGGTAGAAGTCCTTACTTAAAACGATCACACCCGAGATTGATTCCCCGTCCCAAGGACTAAATGCACAATGTCTCAAAGGAGCACGATGCGGACAAGCACAAGGAGCACGATGTGACCAAATCAGAAAGAGCACAATGTTCAAGTCAAACAAGCCAAGTCAAAGAAGCAAGATGTTCAGAAAATGAATAAATTCGAAGGAATTTATTTTGGATCAGCCCACATGCCACAAGAATCCAAAATTGCCTGAAGATATTCGATCAGAATGGAAAAATATTTATGAAGACATGAATATAAAAACTTATCCTAGAAATAAATTCTATCAGATGAATTTATTTCAAAGATTCGTTGGATATTCAAATTGACAACAAAAATAATATTTTAAGAAACAACTTGACAATCAAGTTGAGATAAAATATTATTTTGTCAGGCAAGTTGACAATCAAATCAAAATTGAAGATCTACTATTGTCAACAATATCAGGCTATGAAGATTCAAATTTCAAATATCAAATTATCCCACTCCAACGGATATATTTGATTGCCTATAAAAAGCCATGAAGACTTGAAGATACAAGGCAGAGGTGCAATACACACGGATAAACAAAGTGCAAAATTCAAAAGTGCAAGTGCTCAAATATTCTTAGAGACTTAGTCTGAATAGTCTCAAATCTAGTTGGAGAGAAATACAATTACCTTTGTATTTGTAATTGTAGAAAGAGTATAGATGTGTGCAAAATACTCTAGTGAGTGTAGCTGTGTGCAAAACACTCGTAGTTGCTAAGTGTAGTTGTGTGCAAGACACTTAGTTGGCGTTGAGTATAGCTGTGTGCGAAATACTCGGAGTTGAGTGTAGCTGTGTGCGAAACACTTGGAGTTGGGTGTAGCTGTGTGCAAGACATCCGGAAGAAGTGCTTGTGTAGCGCTTATTCACTATTGTAACTGTGTGTGGAAAATAGTGAATTACTCCTAGAAGTGATTGGAGTAAAGTGGACTAGGAAGATTACGCCACTTCCGAACCACTATAAATTGCCTCTCTCATTTACATACCGCACTTACATAATTTGCTCTATTTATCTATCTTATCCGACTAACCCGTTTACTATTCACAGTTAATCTTAATCATCCGGGTTTAGTGTGTTTTCACGTATGCATGTGACTCAAACTTCTCAAGCTTAAATGTTGGATTATTCTAAGCAAGTTTGACGTGTTGCATGTAACTTTTGTTACACGATCGACGTGACACGATATTTACTTACAATCTTGAATATTATTATTATATATTGAGTGCACCATCTCCTTTATATATTCAAGATATCCTTGTCAATTTACATATCATCTGTATCCATCTTACATGCGCATTTAAATTATTGGTTGGGCATAACTCTTTACATACTATTATTCCGCTGTGCAGTTTTAAACTTACTCTATTTACTTGTTACTTAGAGTTGAAGTTACCAAAGAGTTATTTATTTTGAAAAAGCTTTAAAGTCTATTCACCCTCCCCCCCCCCCCCCTCTAGACTTTCACCACCCTATCGGGACCAACAATTGGTATCAGAGCGGTTGTCTATTTGAGTCAATTTTGACTGCTAGGCAGATCTCGAAAAATCAAGATGATGAAAAGAGATATGGCTCTTGCCCAAAATCTATTGTTTTCCTTAGAGAAATTTGATGATTGGAAAATTCGCATGCCGGTACATTTATCCGCGTTACATGATGAAATGTGGGAAGTTGTTACAAGTGGTCCTATTGAATCAATTCATGTTACATTTGATGAAGCTCATAAGAAGGAAACCCAGAGCAACAAAAATGATCAGGAAAGATGTGAAGTTGAAAAATCATTTAATGATACTGACATATATTTTAAAGATCAAAGTATACAGGGTATGGAGCAATTGGACATTGATTGCAATATTGAAGGACACGTGGAAGCTAATGGAGATTCACACGTGGAAAATCAAAATTCTCAAGTTGAAACACAAGTTGGAGATCAATCTGATGAGCAAAATGTGCTTGCCTCCAACTTACCTACTGAGCAAGGAAACGTGGAAAACCCATGCAACCTACAACCTGACTTGAGATGGCTCAAAAATCACCCTCCAGAGCTAGTAATTGGAGATCCACGAGAAGGAGTAAAAACAAGGTCCTCAAATATACATACTTTATTTTCTTGTTTTCTTTCTCAGGTGGAGCCCACAAGCATTGAAGAAGCTCTAAGTGATCCAGATTGGATTAATGCAATGCAAGAAGAGCTTGATCAATTTAAAAGAAGTGACGTATGGGAATTAGTTCCAAGACCTTAAAATTACAATGTAATTGGAACAAAATGGGTCTTTCGGAACAAGGCAAATGAGGATGGAATCGTCATTCGCAATAAAGCACGATTAGTGGCAAAAGGATATTCACAAGAAGAAGGCATAGACTTCGATGAAACATTTGCACCTGTTGCAAGACTAGAAGCCATCAGAATATTTCTAGCTTATGCCACGTACAAGAATTTCACTGTCTATCAAATGGACGTGAAAAGTGCATTTCTAAATGGCTTACTTGAAGAAGAAGTCTACGTTGAGCAACCACCCGGTTTCGAGGTAAAAGGTGATATTAATAAGGTCTACAGATTAAAGAAGGCGTTATATGGGTTAAAACAAGCACCGAGAGCCTGATATGACACCCTATCAACGTTCCTAATTAACTGTGGTTTTACAAAAGGCCTTGTTGATAAAACCTTGTTTAGAATTCGAGAAAATGATCACATTTTATTGGTACAAATTTATGTCGATGATATTATCTTTGGTAGTACTAATAAAACTTTATGTGAGAAATTTTCCAAGCTAATGCAGCATAAGTTCGAGATGAGTATGATGGGAGAGTTGAACTACTTTCTTGGATTACAAGTAAAGCAACTCAACGAAGGAATATTCATCAATCAGGCCAAATACACGAAAGATCTTATAAAAAAATTTGGTCAAGATGGAAAATCCTCAATCAAGATCCCGATGAGCACATCTTTAAGATTGGATAAAGATGATGAAGGCAAGGACGTTGACGAAACAAAATATCGAGGAATGATTGGATCATTACTATATCTCACTGCAAGCCGACCAGATATATCTTATTCAGTGGGAGTATGTGCTAGGTTCCAGTCAAAGCCAAAAGAAAGTCATTTTCTTGCTACCAAGAAAATCATCCGATACCTAAAAGGAACAGTCAATGTGGGATTATGGTATCCCAAAGAAGGTAATTATACACTAACTGGTTTCTCAGATGCAGACTTTGCAGGATGTAAAATCGATCGAAAAAGTACCTCAGGGACATGCCAGTTCTTAGGGGGAAGATTGGTATCATGGTTTAGCAAAAAGCAAAACTCCATAGCCACAAGTACAGCCGAAGCTGAATATATAGCCGCTGGGAGTTGTTGCGCGCAAATTCTTTAGATGAAACAACAACTGAAAGATTATGGCGAGAATTGTGAAAATGTCAACATATTATGTGACAATACTAGTGCCATAGCCATAACATACAATCTCGTGTTACATTCAAGAACAAAACACATTGATGTGAGACATCATTTTATCCGGGATCATGTCGAAAAGAAGGAATTATCAATTGAATACATCCCGACTGAAAATCAAATAGCTGACATTCTCACAAAGCCTCTGTGTGAATCAAGATTTCCGAAATTATGACACGAGATGGGCATGATTGAATTGAGCTAAGTTTCTAAACTCTTTTTAAATTAAAAGCTCAAATTTTTCATCTGAAAATTCGTTACTTTATCTGATTTAATTAAATTCGTGCCTATGTGTCTCTCATGCAAAAATGTCACATCTTAACATTTAAGTCTACAATAAATATTGATAAAGCACATTGCATGCATGTCTAACCGTGTATCTATTTACCTATATGAAAATTATTTAGATTTACAAAATCTTACCATTTAAGAGATGACAAGATGGTATGATGATGAGTTATCTTAAATGAGAGCATCTTTTTATGGTAGTTGCACATAATAAATAGTCTAAAAAGAATCAATTTCTTTTTCTTTCTCCCAATTACATTTAACGTGTATATATACATGCACATATTATTTTCGGAACAGATTTAGTGCTCTATGAATTTTATTTCAGGTAAAATCAGTCCGAGCATCTAAATTTTTGGCGCCACATCAGCAGACAAATTGGATGGAGAATATATAACCTAAACTAACTATCAGTTAGGTCAAAGGTTGGAAATCATTGGAATATCAAAAATACCCCTCACTTATTAAAAGTCAAAATTCAATTGTGAGGATATTTTTGTAAAGGCACCTCCTTTTTCACCCAACCAGTCGAAAAGCCACCATTCCACTCAAAACTCTCCAAAGCCTTTACACCTTCCATAGACGAAACCTTTCAAGATTCATCTCTCTCAATCTCAAATCCAAAAATACCAAACACATTATGGCCGCCATTGGAGATTCAAGCTCCCACCCGAATGAAGAACAACTCAATCTCACCAAGCTAGCAGTTGGAATCAAGGCCGGAGGAAGCTTTGACCCACACGGATTTCTCAAAGAGGCCAAGAACTCCCAACTTGCACAAAGGATCATCCATGCACTTCAACAAAGCAATCTCATGAGGTTATGTTCTTATCCATACTTAGGATTTTATGATGAGGATGTAGCAGATTTCTATGTGAATGCCAAGGTTGTTGGATGGACCATTGAGTCCACCGTGAATGGAACTCTCATCACCATTGATGAACAAGAGTTGCACACAACTTTTGGACTTCCTATATCTAGTCCAGAACAACCACTGTTGGACTTAGATATACACACATATGATCACATGGAAGTTTGGACAGAAATTCGAAATGAGAATGCTTCTCTCGAACCAAATCTTTCCGGTCAAAAATCTGATTTGAAGCTAGAGTATGAAATGCTAGTCAAAATCCTGTACAAATGTGTTTTATGCAAATTGAATAGTATGGAGGATATATCACCTGTGAGAATTGGATATTTGCATGCCGTGATGAATGATGTTAAAGGTGACTGGATTAAGCTTATTTTGAGCCGGATTGCACATTTTTTGAAAGGTGCAAAGATTAGGAATGGCAAGTTCAACCACATTCTAGGGTTCGGGTTACTTATTGGAGAAATTGTAAAGAGAAAAGAATTGCCAATGAGGTCTAGAAAGCCATTTGGAAACAACCGGATTTTATTTAAAGATCATGAAGTGTCAACCGAGTTGAATTCCAAAAGGAAGAGGAAACTGAGAGGAATTCATGCTAGGAAAAGGCCAGTAGCAGAAATTCTTGGTTTAGCTTCTCAACCCTCAATCCAACCCCATGAAAACCCAACCTCTAGTCACGAACCAAACTCAAGCCAAAATCCTACCACAAGCCAAAATCCCACCATGAGTCACAATCCTACATCAAACCTTAATCCCAAAACAAACCAAAATGTCTTGAACCCTTTTTCTCAAATTGCCGAAATAGAGACAGTGTTGAATGAGGAAATTTATCAAGTTGATGGACTTGATTTGATATTGGTGAATGAATACCGAAGAGTTCTCAATTGGAGAAATTGGAGACTTGGTTCCTATCAAGAATTAATGACAAGAGGACCGAGTATGCAAGAAGAAGAATTATTTTCTTTGAATTGGATTGGAAATTTTGATGTTGGCCATGCAACATTGATGTCTACTGTGAATAGAGCTTTTGTGAACAAATTAAAAGCTAAGTTGGCCGAGACTTCTCATGATGGGACAGTCCAAGGAAATATGCCAACTGAAGATGATTTCTTAGTTGATATTGATGAATTTGTTACAAGAAATGAAGAAGATGAAAATGTCACACGTGGTGCACATTTGATGGACAGTGGCTTGTATGATGTGAGTGTGTTGAATCTCACTGAAATTAGTCAAGAGCATAATGCCATGCAAGTTAGCCACAATACGGAGGAAATTCAATCCATTCATCAGAAAGTATGCAAGGTTACACACACGTGCTACACACGCCGGAAAGAGAAGGGAATTTACTAGAAAATCAAGCACAATCTCACATGCTTGAAGTCAATTCTGCTCAAGAAGGAGCAAGATGTATTCCCACAACCCGAGAAGAGCAAGACATTGATGGCACAACCTCAAATGAAAAATTGAAAAATCTGGAGAAAGTTGTACTAAGCCTAGTTGACCGAATGGAAAGTATCTTTCAAGGCATCTACACTCATGTGGATCATGTTGTCAATACTCAAGGAGGAAAATTCGAAACATCTTTTGATGAAAACCGGAGGAGTCAACAACATTTGATCGACACACATCAAGCACTTGAGAGACAAGTTGGTGGATTGAATGCAAATGTCAAAGGGCAACTCAATGAGTTCTACATCCAACTGTCTCAAATCCTCAAAAATTCTGGAAAATCAAATGAAGCAATTGCCATGAATCAAAGTCAAGGGATTCTCAATGTGGTTCATCAACATGAGAAGCAAATTAGTGATGTCCACACAGATCTCATCTCCATCAATACCAAAGTGGGCTGCCTTCGAGGTTCATATGAAAACATATCCGAATCTGTTTCATCTCTTCGTGAGTCAGTTTATACACTCATTGATTACGCCAAAAAGGGGGAAGAGAGATTCAGTCATTTGGAAGGCATGCTTGAAATGATGATGACTGCCATGGCTACCCGAAATGTTGGTACAAGCAGTAGTAGAGGAGGAGGAGGCAGATCTGCTGGCAGAAATGTTGCTAGAAGAGGAGGATTGGAATATTGGTTCGGTGGTGGTGAAGCTGGCAGTCCAGGAGGATCAAGCAGTGCAAATACCACTAACCGTTCATTTCGTGATATTGTTTGTGCAGGTGGAAATGTTGAGCAAATCAACTAGTACAACAAAGCAGCTCTATATTTGGAATCCACACCAAGAGATGGTAGAGTTGAAATGCCAAGATTGGCAAGCTTGAATGACCTACCAAAGGGAATGAAGAAAAGTGGTCCAAGTGACCAAAATTTGTGGGTTTCGAATGAGAACTTCAGGAGGATCAAAAGCTATGCTAGAGCTTTGATGATCATGGTTCTAAAGGACTATATCAAGGTCAATGATGCCGAGCTACAAAGTGGAAGGAGTCTAGAAGAGTGCATCATTTGGTATGAAGAAGGAATACTGCCCGGGGACATCATTGAAGCATTCAACTATTATGTGATTGGGCAAGTATGCAACAATTATGCCATTAGTGACAATTTCATTGAAGTTCAAAATCATATAAATCATGTGCTTGAAGAAAGGAGAAACAGAATCATCAAGTGATTTGTATGATTGTCACATTTTTTTTGGTGTATGGTCCACGAACTTGAACTCATGATCATGGAACAATTTAAAATGGTTCGAATTATCTGTTTATGATGCTATTAAGCTTTCCCTGTTATCTATTGTTATTTTATTTGTCTTGAAAGGTATTTTAGCTTAGATTGTATCAAATCGCATAAATTGGAAAAAATACAAAATTCATTATCATTAAACTCCAAAAATGCGAATAGAAATTTAGTTGCTAAAAATACCTTTCCTAGAGTCAAAATCAAATGTTAAACTCGTCTTGGCTATGTCAAAATTAATAAAATCTTTTAAAAAAATAATTGTTTTTAAAAGACAAGCCAAATGACTGAGTATAGGTTTTGGCGTCATCAAAAAGGGGGAAAATTGATAGGAATATTTTTGTAAGTTTTGATGAGCCAAATGTACATTAGATCCCCTTGGTTTTTTTTAGGTCTTTTAAGTACAAGCATCATAAATCAGAATATCGAGTCAAAAGGAATCTACCATAGGAAGAACAAAATTAATTTGGGAAATTAATTTTGGTCCTACGAGTATTCATCCAAGAAAGAAGCATAAAGGAATGGCGTTGCAAGGATTGATTGGATGAGCCTAATGGTGAAATAGTAGAAGTCCTTACTTAAAATGATCACACCCGAGATTGATTCTCCCCCAAGGACTTAATTTTTACAAGTCAAGTTTTCGGACAAGCACAATGTCTCAAAGGAGCACAATGTTCCTAAAGGAGCACGATGCAGACAAGCACAATGTTCCAAAAGAGCACAATGTCCTTAAGGAGCACAATGTGTACAAGCGAGATGTGCCCAAGGAGCACAATGTCTGAAAAGGAGCACAATGTTCTGAAAAGGAGCACAATTTGAACAAGCACGATGTGTTCAAAGGAGCACAATGTGACCAAATCAGAAAGAGCACAATGTTCAAGTCAAACAAGCCAAGTCAAAGGAGCACAATGTGGCAAAGAAGCAAGATGTTCAGAAAATGAATAAATTCGAAGGAATTTATTTTGGATCAGCCCACATGCCACAAGAATCCAAAATTGCCTGAAGATATTCGATCAGAACGGAAAAATATTTATGAAGACATGAATATAAAAACTTATCCTAGAAATAAATTCTATCAGATTAATTTATTTCAAAGATTCGTTGGATATTCAAATTGACAACAAAAATAATATTTTAAGAAACAACTTGACAATCAAGTTGAGATAAAATATTATTTTGTCAGGCAAGTTGACAATCAAATCAAAATTGAAGATCTACTATTGTCAACAATATCAGGCTATGAAGATTCAAATTTCAAATATCAAATTATCCCACTCCAACGGATATATTTGATTGCCTATAAAAAGCCATGAAGACTTGAAGATACAAGGCAGAGGTGCAATACACACGGATAAACAAAGTGCAAAATTCAAAAGTGCAAGTGCTCAAATATTCTTAGAGACTTAGTCTGAATAGTCTCAAATCTAGTTGGAGAGAAATACAATTACCTTTGTATTTGTAATTGTAGAAAGAGTATAGCTGTGTGCAAAATACTCTAGTGAGTGTAGCTGCGTGCAAAACACTCGTAGTTGCTAAGTGTAGCTGTGTGCAAGAAACTTAGTTGGCGTTGAGTATAGCTGTGTGCGAAATACTCAGAGTTGAGTGTAGCTGTGTGCGAAACACTCGGAGTTGGGTGTAGCTGTGTGCAAGACATCCGGAAGAAGTGCTTGTGTAGCGCTTATTCACTATTGTAACTGTGTGTGGAAAATAGTGAATTACTCCTAGAAGTGATTGGAGTAAAGTGGACTAGGAAGATTACGCCACTTCCGAACCACTATAAATTGCCTATCTCATTTACATACCGCACTTACATAATTTGCTCTATTTATCTATCTTATCCGACTAACCCGTTTACTATTCACAGTTAATATTAATCATCCGGGTTTAGTGTGTTTTCACGTATGCATGTGACTCAAACTTCTCAAGCTTAAATGTTGGATTATTCTAAGCAAGTTTGACGTGTTGCATGTAACTTTTGTTACACGGTCAACGTGACACGATATTTACTTACAATCTTGAATATTATTATTATTATATATTGAGTGCACCATCTCCTTTATATATTCAAGATATCTCTGTCACTTTACATATAATCTGTATCCATCTTACATGCGCATTTAAATTATTGGTTGGGCATAACTCTTTACATACTATTATTCCGTTGTGCAGTTTTAAACTTACTCTATTTACTTGTTACTTAGAGCTGAAGTTACCAAAGAGTTATTTATTTTGAAAAAGCTTGAAAGTCTATTCACCCCCCCCCCCCCCTCTAGACTTTGACCACCCTATCGGGACCAACACATACATAACAGCCCTATTAGCGAAGATGAAAAGATGCCTATTAGGCAACAAGTGAACGTAAGGATACAGATTGTCCAATTGCTTGTCTTCGACTTCACCGAGGAAAGGAAAATGTACGGCGGAAGCTGTCGAGATTGCCGTTAGGGAAGACGAGTATTCGATTTCCCCCTTTTTAAAAATGTCAATTGACCATTTTGCCCCTATGAATAAACAATTTGAAAACATTTACGTTTTTCGGCAACATTTGGCCGGGTGGACCAAATCTGCTAAAAAAGTATAGTTAAGGGACTAAATTGTTAGTTTTAAAAGTCACGTATCGAAATTAACACGCCTCCTATAGTTTTATATTTGTTCAATAGTCATAGGACTAAAAGTGTAATTTGCTCTTTTTTATAAGTACAATGGAGTATACTTTTTTTTTTTGACACCTCCACTGAGACTCGAACTCAAAACCTTGCAAATGAAAGTCCAACCCAGGTACCATCAAACCACATAGTCTTGGTACAATAGAGTATACTTTTTCTCATAAATATTATAATTTTATCATTAATAATTTTTTAATTCATAAATATTAATTTTTAATTTTAAAGTATTACAATTTTATAAAAATACTAGTTTTTTACGCGCATTGCGTGATTGGGATAATGCCCAATATTTTTTTTTCTTTTTAAATAAGTATTTTAAAGTATATCAAGGCAAGATTATATTGGAATTGTTCGTGCATAGATAATTGAATGTTAAATTTACGTATTTAAATAGGCAATTCTAAATTTACAAATGCAAGATAATATAGTCAAGATTGATTATAATTGTCAATAAAATAATTGTATAGGTATGGTTGAAATCAAATATGGGACATAAGGGAAAGTAAATTAAAATTAGGGCATAAAATATTAAATATATACTAATATTGAAAAGTTAATTGCGAGTTAGTTTCCTACTTCAATTTGTTGTGTGAATTTTTTTTTTTGAAAGTTACTGGCTCTATTACATTGTAGTATCTGTTCATATACTTTCTCAACCTATTGAAACACAAAGAACCAATAACGCCTCCACTGAGGCTTGAACTCGTAATCTTCCAAATGGAAGTCCAACCCGGGTACCATTAGACCACATAGTCCTGGTAATTTGTTGTGTGAATTGAATACTGTTTTTGTCAAAAAATTCCTCAAGTAGTTAATATGATTGGCTTAATTATATTTTTTTATTTTTTTTTATTTATACTTTTTCTTATAAATAATAATCGTATTTCTTCATATCTTAACTATGTGTTGTAGCTCGGCGGCGGCAGAAGCTTGGCGACGTGTTGTAGCTCCACGGCGGCAACAACTTTGTTATGTACGGTGACAGTAAGGACGACAAAAGGTTCTAGGTGACGACAAATCTTTGTGAGCTAGCGGTGAGGTCTCCATTACCGGCGGCCGGCGACAGTAGCTTTTTTGGAGGTATTTTTAAAATTTTATATTGTGTATAAATATTAAATTGTATTTATTTATTATTTTTTATCTATAGTATATTATTTGTGAATTGTGCAAATTTTTGATTTATGAATTATTAGTAATTGTCCCGTGCGATGCACGAACTATTATTAATTTAACAAATTTATCAATTAAATTTTTGACATCCTCTGAATTAGCAAAGAAAGTAATGGTTTTGGAAACAGAAAAACGTACTTGAGTTCTTGAGCTCAGAATTAGTTTGATTAAAAATGTAAGTATAACTATACAATGTAATATTTAATATTTTTAAAAGTTTAATTATGTTATTATTTGAATTTGATTTTTTTTTGAAAGGAATTTGAATTTGAAATAACTACTTTAATTATATAACTAACGTATTTAAATAAAACTTGTAAATAAAATACCAGACGATATTTGTCGAAAATCTCCACCAAAAATTTATTCATTTGAAAAAGATTATTTATGTAAGAACTATATTTATTTTATATCTAATTTCTCCTCTTTACATATGTGGAGTCAAATTAATTATAATTGAGGTTTAAATGAATATATACACAAATTATATTAAATATAAAACTTTATCAATAAATTTGAACACAATAAACTTTTTTTCATACTTCATTATGCTTTAATATATATATATATATATATATATATATATATATATATATATATATATATATATATATATATATAGAGAGAGAGAGAGAGAGAGAGAGAGCGCTATAATAATAAAATATAATTTGTAAAATATAAATACACATAATAACTTCAAAAAAAATATGTATAAATACATCTACCCATACAATTAATGCATTCATACAATCATACTTGCTAATCTTGTTTCTATCAAAATGCATTCACACTTTGAAAGAAAAATTTTGTGGCTAGATTCTGCTTTATTATATACCTAATATAAAGATAGTATTAAGTTGTGAATTTGAGAATTACTTATTTATTATTATGTTTGTGTATAAGTATTGAATTTGTAAATTATAGTATGATTATATATATATATATATATATATATATATATATATATATATATATATATATAGGGTGAGGATAAGGCCCTAGGTGAGGATTGTGGCTGATTTTGATCCGTGGGATGAGACAATCTAATAGCTCAGAATGCACAAAATTAGTAATTAAAAATCGACTAAAATTGATA